CCAGCCTTTATTAGGGGACGGGATTCTTGGCTCGGGGTCTCCGCTCTGGTAAGCTTATGCTCTCCTCTCAAGATGCATTAAAGCTTTACTGCAGAAGGATCCGAATGTCCTGTGTGGTTCTTGCTGGCGAGACGATTGCGCGGGACACACTGCTCCTCTACACTCATCGAGTGACTGAGAACTGCCAACCAGCTCTTCCTCCAGGTCCCTCTGTCTGGTCACATCTGCTATTTGTCTGTGATTCACAAAGCCCCTGTTTATAAATCTGCTCTTGTTCTTAGTGAGCATGGATACAAATTGAGTTGAACAGATTATTTCATGAAGCCAGCCTTGAAACTAATAATGCTACGCTGGCTTTTGTATCTTTCCAGGTAATAAATTCATAAGCTATCTAAGAGCAGCCTGTTATGACAGGCCTGTGGCTAGTCTCTGCAGACTAGAATACTAACTAATGTGAGCCAAGCATATCTGCACAACTCACCCATGGGTGACATTGCCTGTGGCACCACCCTGACACAAGGCAAAGGCTTCTTCTCAGTAAGAAATCTCTTATTTTAGAATGTCTTTATACCATCATAAATATTAATTCCCTTTCAGAAAAAATGGTTTAAACTAACAAACTCATTCAAACTTGAGCCCCAACTGATGATATCATCTAACTTAACTCATGGTATGAAAAACAGAGAAACCAAGCAACTATTACTTAATCCAATTAAGTTAAAACAAAATTCTGCAACTTTCAGAAAAATATAACAGGCTCTCTCGTTGCCATGACAGTGTCTATGCTTGGCCACACTTACTAGTGACAGAGCTGCCAGAGATAATCAATCTGTGTGAAAGACAAGGGAACGATTGAGCACCTTGGATGTTACTGTAGGGAGCTGCTCAGAAGACAGGATGGCAAGCGTCCCTTACGACGAAGCAATGCTGACCAGGCAATAAAAAGCAGTCAGGTCACCGAGATGGGACAGTATCATTACACACTTTGGCTAGCTTGAGCCCTCTCTTCCATCTCACAGTTACACATAGAAACTTGAAACATGGCCAACGAAGCAATAGGAGACTCAAGAGTTAACTGGATTATGAGCTACTGAATAACTGAACTGAACTTTTCTCAGACTATCTCAATGCCTGCTTCTAAGTGACAGTTTTAAGCAGGACACGGAGTCTGTGGTTAGAGAATCTTGCCTTATGACAGGTATAAAAATAGAGCACAATTTCAATTTCCTTGAAAGCTCACTTAAAGTTCCTCCTCACCTGTTTGTGAACTGCATGTCTGCCTAACTGCACATCAGCTGTATAAGGCTTGCAGACTTACACAGCATCCTGGCCAAGGTCTTTAGAAATAAAGTCTCACAATGCTCCAAGCCAACTCCAAAGTCCAAGGCACTATTAGACATAATCTACAAGACCACTGCAACCACCCCCACATGACATGAATAATAGAATCCCAGAACAAAGGAAGTTCTACAGCTTCTCTATCAAACTGTCTGACAGGATAACCACACAGGCATCACCTGGCAATGTGTTCAAATGTGAACTCCCAAGATGCACTGCGCCATCAGGAGCTATCACCTGATTCCAAGTGAGCCCCAAGAATATTTAAAAATCAATGTCCTAGGGTTAGGAAGTACTTGGTACTGGGTCTGCCTGACATCCACAAAGCCCCAAGTTTATCCTTAGCACTGCATAGAACCAGGTAGGGTGGCATTCATCTATAGCCCCAGAACTGGGGAGCTATGGGAGGCAGAGGCAGCAGGAAGAGGTTCAAGGCCAGCCTAGATACCTGAGAACCTGTCTCAAAAAAAAATGTGAAAAAGAAATCAGTATTCTATAAGTAAAAAAGTTTACCAGAAAAGGAGCAGGGAGTCCATAAACTAAGAGACTGGGCACACACACGCACATGCCCATTGGTTGTCATAGTAACTGCTCTGGCTGGCTCAGATAAACCAATAAAAAAGCACAAGAAATCAGTTCAAAACTGAGCCTGTTTGAAAATGGTGCCTGCTCACTGGGTGCACACTGGGCTGAACAGCCAGCAGCCAGCTGCTTATAAACTCACAAACTCGATATGACTGTCTTTCATTAGAGCTAAAACCATGAGAACCACAATGCCAAGTGGCTAACCAACCACATGGACCCTTGCACATGGTGTCAATGAGCCAGAATATAAGCTGAACAAATGGCAAAAGAAGTGAACAGTTTCAGAAGCAGAAACAAGAGCTCTAAAGCTGAACTTTGGACTGTGTCAAACACAGGGGCAGCAGCTCCTCAAGGCTACCACGTAGTTACTTGCAAGTAATTTATCTGATCTCAATGTCCACGTGGCTGTTCTGGTGACAGCTATCAGAGCAGTGGAGTCAGTGTTGCGGGGACTCACGGAGAGAAGACGTGCTGGGTGAGCTCCGCAGAAAGTGGTGGAGGCCGTCCTCGCCGTCACTGGAGCTAGCGATGCTGTTCCTCATCTCTAGCATGGAAATCTGTGTGCACAGGCTCATCTGTGGCTCCAACTTCTTAACTTTCTACAAAGTAAAGTTACCAGATGCCTGAGGGTTACAGAGGTTGACTCATGCTTTCCCTATAAGGGGCAGGAACTTTCCCTTGATATAAGTTAGTGCTCTATAAATGTCTGTTGTAATTATTATTGGCTGTCACTTTAAATACCTCATTCCAAAACTTATAAATCTGAATAATCTACTCAGTAAACTGAAATAGCAAACACAAGTTTTTCTTTCTCTTTTGTCGTGTGAGGGATCAAATCCAAGGCCTCGTGTAACAGGCAAGCATTTTTCTGCTGAGTGATGGCCCCAGTCCTACCTTATGGTGAGAAACTCCTGGACAAGGTAACCTATTTGGTGTGAAAATTTGGATGCTTGGCCAGTAAGATGAAGTGGAGTTTATTTGGAGAAAATGACTTACACAGGAAACAAGTCACTGTCCCAGACTGTCACTCCAAGGATGCAGACCCTGCCACTGGGATGCTCTCTGAGACCAGAAGAAAGGGCCTTCCCAGCCCCAATTCAATCCTTTTAACTGGTCACATCTGAACCTGTGACCACGCCCAAACAGGCT